GCTCTGGTGAGACCCGACCTGGAGTACCGCATCCAACTCTGGGGTCCCCAACATAGGAAAGAAATGGAGCTGTTCGAGCGGGTGCAGAGGAGGGCCACAAAGATGATCAGGGGGCTCTGGAGCACCTCTCTTATGAGGACAGGCTGAGAGAGTTGGGGTTGTTCAGCCTGGAGAAGAGGAGTCTCTGGGGAGACCTTATAGCAGCCTTCCAGTAGCTAAAGGGGGCCTACAGGAAAGACGGGGAGGGATTCTTTATCAGGGAGTGTCGTGATAGGATGAGGTGTAATGGTTTTAAACTGGAAGAGGGTAGATTTAGGTTAGATATTGGGAAGAAATTCTTTACTGTGAGGGTGGTGAGACACTGGAACAAGCTGCTCAGAGAAGTGGTGGATGCTCCATCCCTGGAGGTGTTCAAGGCCAGGCTGGATGGGTCTTTGAGCAACCTGATCTAGTGGGAGGTGTCTCTGCATGTGGCAGGGTGCTTGGAACTAGATGGTCTTCAAGGTCCTTTCAAACTGAAATCTTTCTATGATTCTATGATTAGAAATAACCAGTTAAGTAGAATGTCTTGCTGTGAGGCCTATGTTGCCATGTGGCATGAAGATTACAGATGAGATAGTTGATGTCATGCAAATTTATTTAAAAAAAAAAACCAACAAAATGAACACCCCTCCCCCCAAAAAAAAACCCTAAACCAACTCACTGAAAGACCATCTTGCACTGAAATGTATGAGATGCATATTAAAAGTAGTGTTACTTATGATATTCAGAATGTAAAATTGAAATGCAGTACACAGGTTGTAACCTTGTGCTGCCTTTTTTGTGGTACAAAACTTTTAAATTTTGAATTGTGTGATAATATCTTCCCTGAAGTCATTGGCCTGGACTAGATGAAGATGTGGGATGACTTGACATAAAAGTAGTAAGAATTTTTTTATTGACGGAGTAAAGCATGTTTTATTAATGGTACTGTTAGGTATCTCATGATTCATTTCACTGAAAATGTGAAACTGGAGAGACTGAAACTGTTGATATTGTGAGAGAATACTGCTGAAGAAACTTTCAGAACTTGAATTTTGATAATTAAATTGAACCGAAACACTTCAGGCTTTTAGCACAATGCCACCCTCTAGTGGAACAATATTGCATTAAAAAAACCCCACCATTCTTTGTCAGTGAGCATCAAGGTTTTAATTCGACATGGTGTGTTGTGCGGTATATGTGTGTACTTGTATAGCAATAACAAAGTAGAAGATTTGAGCAAGCCACCTCTATCATCTATGATAATGAGAATGTAATCCGTAACTAAAATAGGTATTTCTGACTGATCATTCCAAATCATGGCTTTGCAAAAGGTGATTCAAAAGTTCTCATTGAATAGCAGTTCATTCAGGGTTAATAGGATTTCATTCAAGGATTCTTTTAAAAGTCAATAGTGTTTTGTGCAAGTCAGAAATGTATGCTGACTATTGAAATGCTTGTCACACATTGTTCAGGCTCTTCTTTTGGTTGTTTGGTTGCTTTTGTTCCCTGCTTCAAAGTGAACCTGTCCAGACCACGTTTTCTTCTCAACACCTGTGATTATTATGGATGTGTCCAGTTTAATCTGACATTCTTGAATCTGTAATGTAAGTGCTGTGTTCACAAATGTAAGGTAAATACAGGGAAATGTTGCACAGGCATCTAGTGAAAGACATGCTATGCTGACTGGAATATGTTGTCTTCAAGTGTTTACATTTTGTGCAGAGAACAGAAATGAACTTTCGGAATTTCAGTTGATGTAAAGATTAAAGTACAGAAAAAATAAAAGCAAAATCAAAGCTTTGATAAGGAAATAAGTGTTTACTATAGTAGAAAGAATAGGGTGTGCAGAGATTATTTGTGTGGGTATTTCAGTTTTCAGATCCCAGGTTGGATAAATGAAGGAGGTTTTGGCAGCCAAGTAATAGGCTTGAAAAGGAACGGGAAAAACTGTAGTGGACCTGACTTTGGTGAGACTGTTTTAAAAAGGGAAGAATAAATGGCATAACCTCTGGAAAAGAGGTCCTACTGGATTCAGGGTGCAGTCTGGGGGCTTAAGCATGGGTTTTGCTCCCAGAGGTTTTTAATTTAATTATTATTTTCCCTTTTGTGCTCTTCATCTTCTGTTACACAAAAAGGTATAAAAGTAACATGGTACCTGCCTTGCTGTCAGCTTGTTTCTCGGAGGGGAGCATGTGGTAGTTGTGGCAAAGTATTAACCTTGAAAGACGTAGAAAGCATGCTGTCTCTCTAACTTTGTTATTCTCTTGGTCTGACTTTGGCCTAACAGTATGGCTGCTGATGTTAGTTTTTCTGTTCAAATCAGACTGTGGCCTTTCTGAAAATTGATCATAAGAAGCAAAACTCATCTGTTGTTTGAAAACCTTGTATGTTTCCACTGGAAATGTTCTTAAGTTTTAACTACAAACATTTTGCTATGATTTATGTTTATGACTGGATTTCTCCACAAAGTTAATATCACAAAGGGTTGCAGTATGGAATGATATGGAGAAGTATTTGCATGTAGAAAATGTGTAAATGAGAACTTCTTAAAAACATGTGTCTTCAAATAGGAACAATCTGGATATTGGAGAGAACATGTGACAGGAGGAGTTTGTTGCAAAGAGGCTTACACCTGTGTTAGATCAACTGTTTTGAGCTTAAAGGAGAAAAATGGGGAAAATACGACTTACTGAAGAACCATGGCTTAATACTTTATCTAGAAGAGTGTTAGTGTCTGACACTTACTCTAAATGTGATGGTGCAATTATTTGAACAAGTAGCAGAGATTTAAAAGAAATTACTTATGGTTCATTCCTGTATTACATGTGGTAAAGCTTCTGTTTATCTGCTACAGAGTGGAGTAGCACAACAAAAAAATTGCAAAAAAACCCCCTGTAATTAACGCCAGCCCTCTGGCAGTTATGCTTAAAAAAAATAGGGAGGTGGCCTATGTGACTATTTCATTCTGGCAGTTTTATTTCTCTTAAGTTGTCTGTGCTTGTACCAAGTTATGAAGAATATGTCTTAGCTGATGCTGAAAGAGGATGTTGCTTAAAACCCTGCCTTAATTGTATACACCAGTTTCCTTCGTGGAGGTCCTTAAGTTGCTGCTGCAATTGAAGGAAGTTTGTGTTAGACTTAATATATTACAAGATGATGACACTTCTATTTAGTTAAGTAACTAAGAGAGAACTGAAACCACACAGAAAAATTAAAACCTTTGGAAGCTATAAAGCCTTTCTCTGACACAGGCAGTGTGACTACTACCTTACAGTGCAGAGATTTAGCTAGAGAAAGAAATAGGGTGGAGAGAACAGATGCAGCCTAACTTCACAAAGCACCCTAACTTTTCTCTGTTATTTAAAACAGAAAACGTCCCTAATTTCTACCCCACATAATAATGTCATGGATGGCTATAGTGTTTTTCGGAATTAAAGTACTAGGAAGTCTGAAAGTAAAGTCTGAAAAGCTAGTAGATTTTTGTCTGGTTGTTTTGCTTATTGTTGTATTTTAATCTTGATCAGCCGTTATATACTGTTGAGCTATTAAGAGCTTTTGGCCCAAGGTTCCTAACTGAACAGTCAAAATACTGGTCATTACTACTAGGTAAAGAGATTTTGTAACTTAACCTATTATTTCAGGTGCTTGAGTTTGCCCTTATTTTACTTCAAGAATTCAAGTTTCTAATTTTGGGAGAGCAGTGTCCTTTAGAGACATAAGTACACTTCACAATTGAGTCTTGTGTCAGCTGCACATGTCAGAAATGACTGGCTCCTTTTAGTTGTTGAAAGGCATTAGCAACAAATCTGCCTCTTATTTTTAAAAAAAAAAGTACATTTATTGCTGTTTTAAAGCGATTTTATTTATTTACAGGTGTCAGCTGTGATGCATGTTTAAAAGGAAATTTTCGAGGTCGCAGATACAAGTGTTTAATTTGCTACGATTACGATCTATGTGCAACTTGTTATGAAAGTGGTGCAACAACAACAAGGCATACAACTGACCATCCAATGCAGTGCATACTAACAAGAGTAGATTTTGGTAAGTGATAATTTCAAACTCTAGTAATTTGCTGCTGTGTTGCGTCTACAAGCATAATATGGATTTTCATGTTTCTACTTAGTAATCACTTTACCCATTAGCACACTGAAAATAAAAGCAAGTCTTCTAAAATCAGGCATGTTTTCTTTGATTTACACATACAACAACTGATGTATGTATTTCTTTTAATTGGTACATATATTTTTTTAATCTTATTTTGGTCTGATAACAGCAGGTAATAAATATTCTGAATAACAATGACTACTCCTAACTAACTTCCAGTTCAGAAGATGTGGCAACCTTCTCCCCCCAGTATGCTTTACTGAAGTGCCATAGTGTACAAGCAGAAAAATCCTGGTGAGATTTTGTAGGAGTGTTATTCATTGATGGGTTACGTGGAACTATAAGTGCAGCAGTGGTAGTGATGGGCTGTACTGAGTACGAAAGACTAGTAGCAAGGACTAGCATGTAGTCTTCTTGGAACTCTTTTGAAGATTTACTAATTTTAGACTTATTTCTGACTGTAAACCATGTCGATATTTAAAACAAAAAATAATTGTTCTTGTCTCCTGCTTGTTGTTTCTGTTGCATCTTATTTGTAACAGGTTGTAACTCATGAGGTACTCCTGTGACAAACCGCTGCACTGAGATCTTGCTGATGCTGGATTTCATTTTTATGTTAAGTCCACAGGACTAGCATTTTAATACAATTTTGGGTTTTTTTAGTGATTCTGGCTGTATTGTTCTTTGTTTTGAATTTTTTAAAGATGATAATTTCTTAAAAGCTGGATTCTTATGAATTGTCAATTACTTCTTTACCTTTGTGATTAAAACACAAGTCTATTTCTTTATTGCTCTAAAGATTAGGGAATAGTTATATATAGAAATATGCAGTTGGTTTCTCAAAATGGCCTTTGAATGAAGATGTCCTTCACTATCTTTTAATTATCAGGCCTCTTGCCCTAAGACTGCCTGGTCATGACTTCAAAAATCCAGGGTTTGGAAGGAAATAATTTAGTGCATTATCAAAAATGCACGCCACCATTTTAGCTTGCATATGTTTCTTCTTGGGCTTCTTTTTTTTGGGCTCACTAATGAGGTAAAATTCTCTGTGTACGGTATATTAATTTAGAGTTCTGCTCACTGTTTGAGATGCACAGTTCAAACTTCTTAGCCCCTTAGCAACAGTTGTCCTTGGATGTTACACATGGGCTAAAAGGACAGCATTGCCATAAACATTAAAAGCTCATCGTAGCGGTAAGGGGACTGAAACATGCTTGCTATGAAACCTTAAGCTAACAGTAGATGTCAAAGCTTTCCATGTACTGCAATGAGGAAACTTGTTCTAAACATTACTCTCTTAAAAAAAAAAAAAGTCTATCACCAGAACCTAAGAACATCTAGGAAATGTATTTTGTTTCTTGTAACTTCAATATTTCTCTTTTGGAAGTCTTTGATAAACATACTTTTTGGTTTAATGCGTTTTATTTGTGTATGTTGTCAGAGCAGAGAGGAGTTATTTTTTACTTTCCAAGTCTGCGTGAAGAATACAGGTAGCAAGGTGGAAGAAGGTTCACAGTTAAGTATTGAGATGGGTAATAGGATTCCAAGGCCTACTTCTGCATTGCTTGGTGTTTATGCTACTGTGGCTTCTTTAAAGAAGAATAAGAAAACAAGCTTTAGAAATTTCGTATGGCTTGATATCCGAGCATTGTTCCCACAGAACCACTGTTAGGAAAAAAAATACTGTAGCTCAGCTCTGCAGCAAGGCTCCTGGTTAGATTAGCACTGTAGAACAAGAACAGAAAGGAATGCATCACCACCAGATTGTGAACCACAGCAAAGGTTGATGGCAGTGGAATACTAGTGACCTTGTAAGCTTATACACTGGAGAATTAATTGAGGCATACTTATAAATAACATATTCCTTAGGGCTCAGGAAGGTCTGTGACACCAGTCTTAAAATGTTTTTCTTTTACAGTACCATGTAGAATGTCAGACATAAAGGAGTGTGCCTTTACAGTATTGTACAGATGCTCAGAGAAACTATGGTAACTTTTCAGAGGGCCTTGTGTAGCCAAGGAGATCATGTGACTTTGAGGAACACCCAAAAAATTAGGAGCTAAGGTGTGTTAAGTTTAATTAGAAAATCAATAGTCAGTGGTAGGACTAGTTTAGAGTAACATGTTTCAGACTTGTCAGGATAGCTGTACTAGTGAATATTAAAAACCACCAAGGAAGCAGATATTTTCAGGGTTAAAAGAAAATAAGCTCAAGGGGCAGATTGTCAGTGTAAAACTAAATAACATAGAAGTAATAAAGGCTTCAGTTACTTGCTAGTGACACGAGAAGTCAAATTAAAGGAGAATGTTTTCTAATGTGTGACAGCATGAGTAAGGCATTTTCCTAAGTAAGGAAAACTTAGGTAGAAACACAGAATGGAAGGCTGTTAGTATAGGTAGATGTGTGAATTGTAGTTTTCCTGGCCATTGACAAACTTCAGTAGTGTTGTCTGTAATCAGGTTTGATACAAAGGTATGGAAGCTGTTAATATGAGTAAACTTACAGTTTTTGCTGATGGTGGGGAAGGAAGTGGACAGCTGGTGAAAGATGAGAGTTTTGCCAAGGAAAAGGAAGCAGAGTGGGGGGATCCTTCCATTGCAAAACTGATGCAAGCTCTTCAGTGGCAGTCAGTGTCATTTTTCTAATTTTAAAAGTGTGCATAGGGATCAGTGAGTCATTTGCTCAGGGTCCATCTGCAGCTGATGAAAAGGGCCCTGTGCCTCTAGTTTCCATCACCATTCTGGCCAGCACTGTCTATATGCAGATAACTGTGGAGTTCACTTAAGTACTCTGTGCCTAAAGCTGTGACCAAGTTGAGGTTTGTGGTGGACAGCTTATCACATGGATGACCCTATGTGTCTGGGGTTGTTTCAGCATAGAAAAGGTTAAGGTATTTTTTACCTCCATGAAAATTCTGATCAGTTTTTAGGGTTCCTAGGTACTGTAATGATGTTGCAGAGCATATTGCAAGGAGGTGGACTTCTTCAGGTGCTCTGAAGGAGCTTTTGTTGTAAACTTGATATTTTTTTGATTTATTTTCCCTCCCCAAGACTTGGACTAGTATAGGAGCCCATATAAGAACACTGAAAACAAATAAAAAGCCATAGTGATTTCTGGCTACACATGTGTTCACTAGTTGGTGTATTTGTCTTTCAGGGGTCAGTGTATGACCTAGTATTAATTTTAAAGCAAGATGGGATCCAGAACAGTGTCAGTGCTATTGATCTTTGGTCTCCACAAGAGACACTGGAAAAAATGCTTTAACACATGCACCAAGAGCGATATGCTGCTGTAACAGGGACAGAGCTTAAAATAAAATATGAAGTCTCATAGGTAATGACAAGTGGCCTTTAAAGCATGAATCCAATTAGTTTATTTCTGAGGGGTAAAAGAGTAGAATTGCAGTAGGCCTGTGTAAAGAACAGGAATGTGCTTACCAGGCAGTCATTGTACTCTTGTGCTTTTTGTAGGACAATTTGTCAGGACAATGGAGGAGTTCAGAGCAAATTTCCTGGTTTTCTTTATCCCAAAAAAGAATCCTAAGCTGTTAGGATGCTTTATGATTTTAAGCATGTGGGTTGCACACTACCCCCACCATTTTAAAGGGCTTGTACTGGCAAAGAAATTAATATAAATTGTTAGTAGAATTCTCTGCAAAAGTTATATTGAGTTACTTTGATAAAAGACCAGAACAAGTGTACCTTCACTTGTCAGGTCAAGTGCTTATGTGACAGAAGATTCTGCCACCTTTTGTGCCTAATTCTTGGGCAAAGGGAGCTGCTTAAATAATAGTTACCTTGATAATGAGTAGTGTGACATCTGACTGGATTCACCAGAGTTCAGCTTAAGGCTTTTGTGATTTTTTTTTTTTTCAACCACTAGAGCAAGATCTCTCTGGTAAGCTATGTCAGAGCGTCATAGAATAGTCTAGTTTGTTTGGAAGGTGACTCTGGAGATCATCTAATGCAACCTTGTGTTGGAAACGGACTTAAGTTGGGCTATCCCATCAAGCCAAGTCTTGAATATTTCCCTCAAGGGATGTTTCACCACTGCTGGGCCACCTATTCCAGTGTTTAGTTCCTGCAGTGAATGTTGGGCTTTTCTTGTTTGTTTCCCATTATTCAAATGCAATTTCTTCTGAAGCAGCTTGTGCCTGCAGCCCGTCACCATGCTACCTTTTGAAGAGCATACCTCTGTTTCCTCTATAACTACTTTTGCAGTATAAAAAGTTGGAGATGAAATCCACCTTGTGACTTCTCTAGGGTGGATGAACCCCATTTCTTCAACCATTCTTATGTCAGGCTCTCCAACCCTCTGTCTTGGTGGACACAAATGTGTGTGTGCACATACAACACACACACAAACTCCCATAGTGTCTCTCCATTTTATTTCAATATGTGTCTTGAACTGGAGAGACAGAAACTGAACCCTGTGTTGCTGGTGTTGCCTAACCATTGCCAAGTAACCTGGGATAATCACATCTTTTCACCTGATGGCTGTTCTCTTACTGACTTAGCCCAGGTCATCATTTGCCTTCAGTGATGCTGGGGCATACTGCTTGCTTATGTTTGGCTTGTTGTCCACTGGGATCCCCCAGTCCTTTTCAGTAGAGCTGCTCCCCAGCTAGTTGAGCCTGCCTTTGAGCAGCAGCTGCTGTTTTGGCACTGGTCAGTATTGGTAGACAGGCTGCAAATCCTCTGTCATCTTCATTAGCAACTGTGCTCATTCATGGCTTCGACATGTGGTTCTTACTGTTGGGAAGCAGCAAGACCAGGGCTGCCTCACAAAGAATAACAAACCAGGAGCTGAGGGTGACCGCAGCACAGGCAGAAGCAGAGGGCTTACAGACAGGGTGTGTGGGGCAGGGTTGGTAACAGGAGGAGATCCTGTTGATGGTCTCAGACAAAGCAAGTATAATAAGTCAGCTGTGGGGTCAA